ACACACAGTGTCTGGTATCCCCTATCATGCAAAATAGCCTTTAATTTGAGCAATAGAAATGAAGGAAACAGGCCTGTATTACTATTTCTCAGCAGGAGATCTTCCAGGCCTAGAACCAGAGGACACAGTGAGGGTCAGACACTTGCCAGAACAAGACTGAGTGTGGCATAAGATAACCATAATTTTACACAACAACCCACCATCATATAAGGTGCACAGGGATAGCAGACAAATAGTGAGATGTAACAGATAACTCTTAAGGAAAGAGTAAGTATTGATGATGCTGTGAGTTTGAATGATAGGAAAGTATGTAACCAGAAGAGGATCCCGCGGGATGAGACAATCAGGAAATCCTTGTCATGGGCCAACCAGGCCAGAGATGCACTGGAGGACAGTCCAGGGAAAATGCTTGCAGAAGAAGGGACCGTGGCGACAGCAGAGCAAAGGATGGGATCTGAAGGATGTCATCACTGAACCCAGACATGTTCCAAGCAGGTGAGTCAATAGGAGACCCACACATCCGAGAAGCTATGCACAAAGTGCTGGTTTAATTTTCTGGGTTATTTTTCTTTCCCAGAAAAGCAGAGGAGGGATGTGACAATATGAAAAGTCTCCTGGATTAGGCCTGAGTGGGTTATGGTCTGGTTGAGGGCAGCACCGACTCATTCTGGCCTGAGGAGAGAGTAGCCATTCTCCTGAGAGAACTCAGAGGAAAGGAATATGTGGATATAACTCAGGTGTGTTGGAAGAGAGAGTCCATGTGCATCTGTGGGGTGCAGATTTAGAAACACCTGCCACTGAGTCTGCACAGAACTTGAAATCAGTTGGTGTAATCATAAGAGGCAAAAGGAAGGGAAGGTGCCCTTATGTTTGCTCCTCTAAAAAGACCGCACTCCACCTTACAATCTGACACTTCTAAAATTAGGAACTACATCCAGGGGGTTTTGTTCAAATATGCAATTCAGCTCTATGTTAAGAAAATACAAACATGGGATCAGCTTTGCTAACATACTGCTGGAAAACAAAAATACATGCCTTTGGTACTTCAGAAACTAGGTATGGCATCCTATGTTCTCTTGAAGTTAATGGCAAAATGATGGAACTTAAGAGAAGTTTGAGAGTCTGATAAGGGCACTTCCAAATGGGGATGAATTCAGTATGGGACAAGCTAGGCTTCATCTGTCTTCGAACAAGGTTTAAGAGTTCATTCACGGAGAGTTACTTTGCAAAGCTTTAGTCCAGTTCAGCCTTCCTAATCCCTTGGAATGACCAATTAGAGAAATATGCTGTCGCACTGAAAGAAGTTAAGCAATCTGGACTATTTTGGCTATATGAAATATCCATATTTTATAGTCAAATGAAGGTTAACTCTTTGAGTATAAATTCACAGAAGTACTGATAATAGCAGATCCCCAGGGTGGGGTTTTTTTTTTTTTTTTGAGGCACAACAAAGTAATATTTTATTTATTTAAAACTTTTCTATACCGTCCCATCACAGATGTCTCAGGACGGTTCACAACAACATTAATACAAGGAATCTTGTTTACCCTGGAAATTCCAATGCACTTAACTTTGGTGAGTTCTCTCCCTCATTTTTATTCTGTAAAACTCTAATGGACAGCAAAAGCTTTTATTTCAAGAATTTTGAGATACCATTAAAAGAAATATTTAAGATGGCTTTACAGCACAATCCTAGTCTATTCAGAAGTAAGCCATTTTGAATTCAGTGATACTTGTTCCCAGTTGAGTGTGTATAATGGAAGACTTAAAGTGTAATACAAATTTACCTGGGAGTAAGCCTCATTAAACTTGGAGGGACTTACTTCTGAGTAGACATGCATTGGATTGCTCTATCAGTCTAGTTTTATCTTCACTAACATTTTTAAACAAAACAAATTAAACCTCAGGTGAGTGATTGCATGCTCAGTTGGCACTAAGGGCTTGTATAATCAAAGGGCTCACTCCTAGATAGGGTTACAGCTTTAAAATGGAGTCCATGCAATAACGATCAATACAGACCTTCAATTAAAAAAAAAAAACCCATATAGTTTTCCTATTGTTAATACAACCATATGACCTGGAATATGGACTTGGAATACCAATTAAATATCTTCTTTGAAGGCATCTTGTCTGAGATGTCAAACTTCAACTCAGTATTTGTATAACAATTGAAGTTCTGCCTTAACACATAGACATAAATATTAATGTCAAATACAGTCATGACTATTGACTATTTTAGTAAATAGTTGTGACTATTTTAGTAAAACTGAATGCTATAATAAGTATCTAATAACATGGAATAAAACATGTACTGGCTTGCATTATTATCTGTATAAAGATTAGAGGAAATTGATTACCGAGTTAATAGCATAATAATCTAGCAAATAATTAAAGGCTTACTTCAACAATATAGAAGCTTCTTCCTCCACCAGGCTTTCTGCAGTTAGTTTTGAAATGTGCTACTTTTACCTTTAGGTTCCTCTCTTTCTAACAGACTCACAGAGGATTGTGTGATATCTCAAATATCTTTTCCTCTGTCACTCATTTTTATTTGGGTTTCATGACATGGCTATTTTTGAATCATTTCAACAGGAGGCAAAGAAACTAATATCCATCTGTAAAGTCTACTGCACATAAGGTGGAATGGCCAGACAGCTACAAGGCATCAGCCTGGAATACCGCATTTGATCCATGCTATCATTTCTGGCAAGTGTCACTGATGTCATAACTTGGCCCAAGGGAAGCAGTTATTCTTTGACAAGTGCGCGTCATAGGAACATGATAGCATGTGACTGGCAGGAACACAGTGCTGTGCCCTCCAAGAAGAGAGAGTGATCCAAACAGCGTACATTCGATAATGCAGCTTGTTTCAGGGGTGTGTTACTCGAGCTAGTGATGAGTTGGGAGAGATCTTTGAACTGCTATTTGGAAAGAACACCTAGTTGGTTGCATGACAGGACTCCAGCTAAGCTGTTAATGCTGTGCACAGTAAAGGCATGGGAACTCAAGGGCAACCTCAAAGCTTTTAAGAATGTGTGACAAATCTAGCAAACTGTTCTAATGTGGTGAATGAACAAACAGAGACTTTTTTTCTGCCTGAGAGCAAGAGTTCAGATCCTGCTTAGTTTCTAACGATGAGCCTTCCTTTAGTGCAAAGGGTCTCATGACCTCTTTAAATAATACATTTAGTATTGCATAAGCTTTTGCGGATGAGGGGTCACTCCAAATGCATCAGGTCGTCCAGTCTACAAATGCTTGTGCCATAATAATTTTGGGTACTATCTTGGCTGGCAAATCCTGGTAAGTCTAGGACTCATTTATGAGGGCATAAGATTGCATCCTAATTAGTCAATAAAGGCACAGTTCTATGGCCACCAGATGGATTCTAGGTGGCCAAAGGAAAACTTGGAGTCCCAGATTTGATCTCAGAAAGTTCTTCTAGGTTGGAGCTGGGATGCTGAACTCGGCCCATCACCCGTGCTTTTGCAGCTGGCACAGAAAGAAGGGCACGGGCTTTGACTTAAAGTTGCAGAGTAATTTTGTGGACATTGCAGGGGGCAGGAAGGGGAGGAGACGGGCTCTGGCAGTATGTGTAATGTCCTTGTCACACCTCAAAGTCTTTTTTCAGGGCTGGAGAAACATAGAGGCAATCTTTGTTTCCAGGAGCTCTCCCCCTTCATAGAAAGCCTGCAGGCTTCCTAGTTCAGGAGGTGCTGGGCAGCCACATGGGGTTGCACTGCCTGATGTCACAAAGCTCTTTGTGGGTTTTGCAGCAAAGATTAAAGAGGCAACCCCCTGTAAGTGGTGTCAGTTATAGGGCAGCACTTCTCATGGTCTAGAAACATGCCCTATGTTTAATATTTGTTCCATCAGATTTCTGGTACTTTCTCCAAAGCCAAATTGCTTGCCATGTGCAAAGCTAATTGCTAGGAATATTATTATTCATCATGTGTAAAGCATCAAATATATACTAAGCAATGTGGTGTTCCCTGCCAGCAGATTTTTCAGTCTGAATAGCATGACACAAAAGGGAAGAGGGATGGGGAGCAAGGAGGAAAATTCAGACATGAAGTGCTTGTGTAGTGGGTAGTACAACAACCATCTTGAATGGAAACAGGGAAAGAAGAAGCCTGGGGGGGGGGGGAGTTCAGGTGAAATCAGTATTTGCTGTCATAGGCAAATTAGGTTAATTTTCACACAATGAAAGCTGGAACTCAAACATTGCCCAAAACCAGGAAGTGAATGTTGAATACTAAAATGTTTGTTATTCACCATTTTACCTGTTATATATACTGCTTTCTGAACGAATTCTTCCTGCTGGATTCCTGAAGCATTTTCCATAAGAGAGTAGGAATCCCTTCCTTTAAAAATAAGTGTGGAACTTAAAAGGAATGTCACAGCCCCTTCTATTCTTGAACCTAGCATTTGTATTTCTCTGGGCTTGTGCAATTATGTAAGTTGGCATGAAAATGTGTGTATGTGCGCATGCATGTGACAAAATGCCACTGGTGGTAAGGGAATAGCCTATAAAAGCACTCAGTGTAGTTATATTTCTGCCTTCACTAGTGGAAATACAGGAATTATAATCCTTTCAGAGGTCATGCCTGGACAGGAGCAAATGCATAATGTTCCAGAGGCATGACTAGTGTGAGATGAGATCTTCGTGGCAGAGCACATACTTTGCACACAGAAGTTCTCGGGTTTAGTTTCTAGCAACTCTGCTTGGGAAGAAGAGATGCGAAAGGCCTCTGCCTCAGATGCTGGGAAGATAAAGCAGCAGTATTGGGTTTTGTTAACTTACTCATTCACAAAAAGAACCATGTGACCCATGCATGCATTTTGTTTGGTCTTGTGGTCCAGTTCAGATATTGTAGTTTCTTAGATCACATCACCTATCAGACAAATTATAGCCAAAAGCTTTATAAGAATATAGTTTTAACTGAATGCATATCGACCTTTTATTAGTTCCAGCTTGTAAACGTAACACTTTTCTGTATTATCTTTTCTGCTCTACCTTTTTTGATAAGATGCCCAGGTCCAATGAGGATCAATCATGGTTGGTTGGCATGGAATTTGTGTTGACTGTTGTCTGCATTCCTCAGTGCAATATGTAGACCTGGTTCACACAATCACCATAGTTAAACTAGCCATGGTAGCTTGTTTAAGCTGTGGTGCACGTTGAGCACATTTTGCCTAAACACTGCCCCTGATGTGGCTTGCCATGTCACCCAAACTTAGGTGGCATGGCTTGCTGGAGGGTGAAACAACTTTAGCCCATAGGTTATGTTTATGTGGCTGTCCGTCCGTCCATCCATCCAGCCATCCACCATCATCACAATCTTCTGTAAGTGGTGGCCCTTATTTAAACAAACTGGTGCCATTCACACACAAGTTGGTGGTATCAGCAATATCAGAGGAATGCTGAGATTTGCAAAAGTGCAAATAAATCTTCTTCCTGCCTTGACTTCTGTAACGCGCTCTACGTGGGGCTACCCTTGAAGACGGTCCGGATACTTCAATTGGTTCAAAATAGAGCTGCCAGGCTGCTGACGGGGACTGGGCATTATGTTCACATGACTCCAGTCCTTCGTCAGCTTCACTGGCTTCCCATTGAAGTCCGGGCCCAATTCAAGGTGTTGGTGATGACCTATAAAGCC